ATTTCCTTAAGCTTCTCCCATGGAATGGCGTTCGCCACCGGGAGTGTCATGGCCTCTACGTGACCATTCCACCAGGAGAGAGCTTGATCAACGAATGTGCAGGCCGCAAACTTGACCTTGCACCCATCCGGACATCCGCAGATTTCAAACACTGATTCCACCTTCTCTATCCATCTTTTCATGGTTATTACGCCTCCCGTCCCATTGAAGGTTCGAGGCTTGGCGTTGGTGAAGTCCTTGTAGGTGCAGGTTCTTGTGGTTCCGTGGTTTGTTCCCTGATTTGTGCTTCCGATTCCCTGTCTGTTACCTTCACCGTTGTTTCCGTTGCGAATTTGTGCTAGTGCTGCAGTGACTACAGCTGACACTGCCGCTTGGAATGCGACTGAGTTTATTTATGGCGGCGTCGGTGTCGCGTTGTTTCCACGGTTTGGTCTTTGAGGCATCTTTCTGTCATAGAATGGAAAGATGTTGAGTATCCAATGTATTTAGTTTCACGATTTCTTGGTTATAGCACAGTGTATAAGTGAGTGAATGCATACAATCAACATGTAGTAAAAGTAATAGAACACATACCAGATCACAACATCACGATAATATATATATATAATATATATATATATATATATATATATATATATATATATATATATCACTTCCACTAGTAATAACCATTTTAATACAAGGAAAACTTGCGTAAAAGGCATACAGTACATGGGGAAACACATGATCCGAAAGCATAACGACCCTATGAGTAGTGTAATCACTTAAACATATGGTCGATAGTACATAGAATAGTGCATAAAAAGGAAATTTATAACGATAGTACATGAACGGGTACTAGTTGCGACGAGGTGGGTCTGGTAATGAAATCACTTGCCGAAATGTCGTGCCACAAGATCAGCCATCTCTGCCATCTCCCTGACTACCTCGTCCCTCTCGTGCTCTGCCTGTACAGCTCGGGCCTCTGTTGCTAATAGTTGTTGCCGAAGAGTGGCAACCTCCTCCTCTAGGGAGTGAGTCCTATCTACGGGATCCCGTGGCGCTGTGGAGTGATCCTGTACTGTCTCGGAAGTGGGAGGTTCACTAGGGACTTCATTAGTATCCCCGCCCTCCTCCGCGACCTCATCGGATTCTCCAAACTCATAGTCCGTCTCTACGTACTCTTCGGGCCCGACACCGGGGGCTGCCTTCACCACGGGGTCTTCCTCAATTATTTTGTGGGCCACTAGGTTCTGATAGAAAAGAACACCCTGATGTGCTCCATCCATGGCGACTGCGCGAGAAACTAGGAGTGAGAAGTGTGTAAAAGGAGTGTGTATATATAGTATTACCAAAATACTCCTATAGTATTTTAATTATTTTGAGTTTGAGTTCCTTATCAGTTTTGGATACGAGGTAAGCTTCTAGATCCATTTCATACTGTGAATACTCCCAAACACATGTTGGTCATATTTTGAATAAATATAGTTGGTCAGGCTATATTTATCCCAAATATGACAACATAACTGTCCGGGTTTAATCACAGTGTTCAATTTCCTCCAGAGACTTTTAGTGTTATTGTTTTAGTGTATGCCTATGTATGCATTTTATTCAGAGTGTTTTAGTCCCATTGTATTTATAGTTGCATATCAAGTATGATTAGATATGTCAGTTCACTATAAACAATGCTCTGATACCAATCTGTCACACCCCCGAACCAGACGGCGGAAAACGTCCGGGGGCTTACACGTGACTTCAACTTGTAATATCATCACAATTGTATATAATTGAAACAAGACAACACCATCATCATACATATCAAAATACAACCAGCATTGTTTACATCAAGTACAATATCATAAATTACATGTCCAATATATATAATGTATGATGATAACAAAATATAACAAATTCCACATTTCCTGCTGACCTTTCCGCTTAACGATTCCCTGATAATACAAGTTATTTTGAAAACGTCAACATATATAATGTTGGTGAGTTCATAAGCATATTTGAATGAAAAGTTTTGAGTTGTTTGTAAAACACCAGAAAATCCGATATTTTCTGAAAAATGGTTTAAACGTGATGTATCAAAATCAAGTATTAATGCATGTGTGTTTTCTGTGTTTGGAATGTATATAAAATGTAATCCAAATAAAAACCATGTATTTTCTGTAGTAAGTAAAAGGTATTGTTTAACTGTATATTACCCCAGAAAATCCTATATTTTCTGTTTATAAGAGTGTTGTGGTCTAAACCCTAAGACCGAATATCAGTGTATGTATGTTATTGTATCAACAAGATTTTACAGGTGTTCCATAAAATTTTGTTGGAGAGGATCTCTATGTGAGCCGTTTTAACCATACTTGATTATGACGAATTCGCCTATCGTGGCGTTTTTAGGCGCCGACTTGATTTACGGTAAGGTTTGTCACCCTAGACTGGCCTAGTCTAACTGTAGCGAACAACTCAGGTGTGGGGTGTCACCCCGTATAGATCTATACACAAACTCTCGCTCTCCCTCCAGGAGACTCTGGTTATAACTACAAGCTACGATTTGTATACTCTAGAGGTGTCAACCGACATGTCTCACTAGCATCCTTGACTGAGTTTACGCGAATATTGTATTATGTTATATAACGTTTACTTGTATGTTTTATGTTTGAAAAGCCCAATGAGTATGTATATGAATGTACGAGGCCCAACAGACATGTAGAAGGACCACTAAGGCCCAAAAAAAACATGTAATGTATAGTTTAGGTCCAATAAGCATGTGTATCGGCCACTAAGGCCCAATAAACATGTAATGTATAATTTTAGGTCCAATAAGCATGTATATGGGCCACTAAGGCCCAATAAACATGTAATGTATAATCTTAGGTCCAATAAGCATGTATATAAGGCACTAAGGCCCAATAAACATGTAATGTATAATCCAGGCCCAATAAGCATGTAAATGTGCCACTAGAGCCCATTAACATGGATTATACATGTTAGGCCCAATAAACATGAAGATTTACATCTTTAGTCCAATTGTATGTAAGTTACCATTTTTGGCCCTAGTAAATATAAATTGATGTTTTCGGCTCATTAAATTGAAATTTACATTTTCAGCCTATGTATAAATATAATTTACATTTTCAGCCCCTTTTTAGATAAAATGACATTTTCGGCCCAAGTTTTGTAAAAATAGCATTTTCAACCCAAGTTTTGTAAAAATAACATTTTCGGCCCTAGTTTTGAATAAAGTGCCATTTTCAGCCCATAAAATCGTAAATTTACATTTTTGGCTCAAGTTTGTGTTAAATGACAATTTAATCCATAAAAATCTTAAATTTACAAATGTGGCCCAACAAAACCGTGAAGGCCCACATCAAGGCCCATAATACGAAATTTTACACTTTTAGCCCTTTTAAAACTATGATTATCTTAAAAACCCATTTTTATACAAAAATGACTCTTTTGGTCCTTGAAAAACCATGAATATCATAAAAGGCTTCATCTTTTTGTTTTCTTGTCAAAACTGGCCCTTTTACAAGATTTTGTTTAGTTTTTCAACATTCTTAACTTGTTTAGCACTTTTATCTTATGGTAAGTTGTATAAAGTGTTGTAGTTTCCAAATATTGTCAAGATCTATGAAGTTCTTCACATAATCACAACATATAACTTAGAAGACACACATAAACATGCACAAATACATAGATCTAGCACATAGCAACTCGTATCCTCCCCCAAAACAAAGCAAAACCGAAAATCAAGGGGTATGAACTCACTTTGCTTTGAATTTTCGGTTTTTTGATAAAGAATGAAGTGAATATCTCGGCCCTAGCAAGCTCCTTGAGGTGGTTTTCGAACTCTATGAAGTTCAAGAGTATAGATCATGAAATGATATGGTTTAAGAAGAGATTTTTGATGAAATCAAGAAGTTAAACCATAGATTCAAGTAAGAACTTACCAAGGATGATGATCTTGATGAAAAACCTCTTGAAACTACACACAAAATCTCGAAAATTTAGAGGAGGAAGGAAGAGTTCTTGAGAGAGTTTTTGAGAGATTTTGAAAGAAAGTGGAGAGGGTGAGGGATGAGGGTTCGCCCGAGAGTAGAAGAAGAGGGAAGGAGAGAGGTTTGAGGTGATGGTTGCATGGAGAACCACCATGCAAAAATGATGTGTCAAGTGCAAATTAATTCTCTTTTTCTCTTTTTTTTATATACATATTGGGCCGAGAATGAGCTAAGAGGAATGAAGATGAAATGGTTTTGGCCCATTCTTGGCTTTGTTCGAATTTTATGAAGCCTAGCAATATTTTTCCGGCCCGTTGGACCCTTATGGAAGTTCACGGCCCAATGGCACCCAATTAAAAGGGTTTACGGCCCATTAGGGCAAATGAAATCATTTATGGCCCAAAAAGGCCCATTAGAGATAAGATGCATTATTCTAGGCTCACATGGCCCAAAATGCTAAAATCTTATGGATATGGATCCAATTAGAGCCCAATTAGGATTCCTTGGCCCAAATAGTCAAATTGAAAGTTTATTGGTCCATTAGGCCTAATAAGAGCATCCAAGTCCATAAATACTTGGACCGGGATTTCTAGGGTTTTCAATCCATGTGAGATGTTTTGCATTAGGTTTTGAACTTAAATCAAGAGTTGGGATTCAAATGGATGGTTTTGATTGAGCATAGAGTATGATTATCACTTAGAGTACATATCTTACAACAGTTGAATGTTTACATGATAATAGAATTTCCTAGCTAAATGCTAATTGTGACAGTCGCTCACTTCTAAAAATTTCCCAAATTAATCAAATCCAACCAAGATTTCAGTAACCCATTTGATATCTTCGAATCACTATTCGACTTGGGCGGCATGGACATCGGAATATGCGGTTGGAGCTCCCACAACATGGCCACGGAAGGTGAAGATCAAGGCTACAACCTCGTTCTAAACTTTAAAGGAGTTGTATTCGAAATCGAAAAAGAAATCGAAATATAAAAACTCGACACCTGTCAAACTTGCAATGGATCTGACGCAAAACCCGGAACCACCGCTTCCCACTTCTCCCCATGCGGCGGTCAAGGCCAAGTCATATCATCCGCCAAAACTCCCATCGGTATCTTCCAACATGTCACCACCTGCTCCTCCTGTAAAGGAACCGGAGAACTCTCAACTCCCTACACCACATGCTTCGGCGACGAGCGAGTCCGAAAGTCAAAAAGAATCAGCCTCAAAGTCCCTTTTGGTGTCAATTCCGTTAACCGGTTGAGAGTTAGTTCGGAAGGTAATGCCAGAAGAAGAGGCGGACCTGACAACTATAACTTGTTTTTGATACTCGATGTTCTTCCAGATCCAGTGTTAAAATATGACGATAAGGACATTCTGTACACTTGGTCCCCAGAGTTACGATTGGTCCCCGAAGTTATGATACAAACATTTTGTACACGATGAGAATGTTATAGTTTAGCCCCCTGAGTTTCAAAAATGATGAATTTTACTATTTAGGGGATCAACTACGGATATAATTTTAACCATAGGGACCATTCGTGTAATTTAGAACAACAGTTAACAGAGGGATGGTTAAAACTAACGATAATGACTTAATTGACATGTACAGTAAAAGTTAGACGACTTATTTTGCAAAAAAATAACATAAATGGTCAAATCGGACCAAACCCAAAACTTCATCATGTGACATTATCCCAGCTTTGATATAGTCCGAGACAAAAAGAAAGACAAATGTGCAATACTACAAAAAAAAAAAAAAAAAAAAAAAAAAAATGCAAACACGTTATTCTTACAAATCTCAATATAAATGAATCATTGTGTGTATTAAAATAACTAAATTATGAGAGTTAACAACTGTACATAGCTTTTAATTGTTTTCTTCATCGAAAATCAGAGGATAATGATCAAATCCTATTCTTGTTAAAAAAAATTATTCGGTTTATTGAATAATGTAACATACAATTTAGACTACAAAAATTTATATTATAAACCATATTTGAGTGGATACACATGTCTTATTTTACTACAAATATAATAATTAGTCCGTAATAAAGTTTATTAACGTAGTGTCAAAAATTAAAGAATTTTTATTGTCTTAAACTTTTGAAACATTGTAGTTATCAAAATATTGTCTAGAACCACCCCTCCAAGTCCTTGGAATTTTTCCTGCAGGCCAAAAATTAATATAAATTTTCAAAATGGTCCCACACGCAATAACAAAAGCGAGAGTTCTTCACTCTGTCATCATTTCCTTTCTCATTCTTCTTTCAAATTCAATCAGAAACCAATCATGTCTGTAAGTTATTTCTCATCACTTCTAAGGAAGGGTTTTAATTTGTTCTTATATAATCTTGATTTTGTTCATTTATTAGCCTCTAATCAATAATACTCTTGATTTTCTTTATTTATAAGCTTGTGTTTACTATTTACCTCGTTTGAAATACTAACAAATCAATAACTATTTAATTATTTATGGCAGCAACAACGCTCGCATATCCCGAAGTTTGGGAGTTGGGATGCTGACAATGTCCCTTACACAGCTTACTTTGACAACGCACGAAAAGATAAAGGTTCTGGTGTCATGATAAACCCTAACGACCCAGAGGAAAACCCTGAAGCTTTTATGGCTTATGGAGGCGATAACGATGATGTCAGCAATGATGATATCGTGTTTGCAGATAAAAACATAAAATTTGGAGGCAAGAAAAGTACGACCTCATCAAAAGTAAGTAGTGAAAGGAGTTCGATCTCAGATTTATCAAGTAAGCAACAAAGTTACAAAGCAGATCGAAAAAAGAGCTCAAACACAAACACAAGAGAAATGACAAGTAATTTTGCACCACCTTCACCTTCGCCCGCACCCAATAGACCAAGATATGGATATAATCCAGCTGACGATATTGCGGTATGTGAAATTTTGTTCTTTATTTATATTGAGATGATTTAGGCAATTTCAAACATTTAAAACACATAAACCATAAATTAAGGCTTATTATATACGTAATCCCCTACCAATTGTTTGGTATATCTCATCCTGTGTGTGGGTTGGTGAGCACATATGTTTGATTTTTTATGTGAACGATGAGTACATATAGTAACATTCTAAATTAAATATATAGAGTACATGGTTGTATGATAATTGTTGGTCTAACTTTTAATATTTAATAATAAAATAACATATGTTTTTATTATTATAATGTTTATTTTATTAAAGCATAACACTTATGTGTAATTAACTACTATTTCATTATAAACACAGACAATACTTCATGACTTAATGATGATTCTTGATATTTAAGCATTTCAAAATGAAGTTGTCTACGTTCGAATTCCACATACTTTAATCGTGTGATCATATGTCGCGAGAAAAAAAAAACTAATATTTTATTATAATAATATTCTATATTGTGAAAACTTACTAAAATAAAAATGACAATTTTAAATGTATACTAAAATTTCTAAAAATCATATCCAATATTGAACTTATGTTCAAACTCCCGACACAAATTCTGTAATACCATATTTTGTATAGATTAAATTCTAGTATTTTTTGTTAGATATTTAACAATTTATGTACAAACTCAAGTTTGGTGTTGTAATAGTATTAAATAGATAACATCAAATTCAGTGTATCACTCTTCATCAACACCTATTTTTATGTTGTACGTGTAATTGAAGAAGATTTAATACTATTTTTGTGTTAAAGAATTTGTGGTTCACATGTTCTCATAATCTTGAAATTACATGTACCTTATGCATTAAAAATTGTAAATTTCACATTATGACAGTCGCATAGATCAGCATCGGTCCCAATGTTTGGGGCATGGGATGAAAAGGACCCAAGATCTGGAGATGGTTTTACAGTCATTTTTCAGAAAGTCAAAGAGGAAAAACACATTGCAGCCACCAAATTCCCACCAATCCCTCAACATGATAACCCAAATATCCCCAAAAATCCTAAAAAAGATAGCAAAGGAATCAAGGTATGTATTTTTTTAATCACATGAAATAAATACAAACCATTATATAACATTATCATATAAAATGAAAAGATAAGAAAAATTCCAGAAAAACCATTATATTTTCTGATTTTGTTAAATTAATGTTTCGCAACTGATAATTGAAGAAAACTAGTTGCATAATTGTTATTCCAGAAAACATTGATTGTTATTCCATGCTCATCTAAGTGGATCTAAAAAGATTACATAGCATTAATAGTTTAGTTCTGAAAACATTAATTGTCACTCCGGATAATTGTTACTATTTTGTTAGAAATTGTAATTTTATTAATTTCTAGAAATTATAACATCATCCACATAAGTTCTATAATTTCAATTAGTAATTTTATTATTTTTTTAATACAACAAATCTAATCTATTCGTAAGTTTTTACCAACCCTTGATTTACAAATTTCAGAAAATAAATGGTTTTAATGGACAAAAACTAAAACAACACAATGGTTATTATTACTTTGAGGAAGTATTTAACTTTCGTATCTGATATTATCATTATGCAGAAATGGTGCTGTCTGTATTAAAAAGTGAAGGGATTGTGGCTCCACATTGGTTTTTTAAGAATGTATGCATAATTTTTAGTTAAATCAATTATGTTGTCAAACTATTATTATTAAGATTACCTGGTGTTAAATTATATTTCCAAATATTTGTGATTTCAACCCTCCTATGACAAAATCCATATGTTTTATTATTTTTCATTTAGAGTCCTTAAAACTTAGCTTCATTGCATTTTTACTCAGCAATTAATGTTACATAAAAGGATATTTAGAATATTCCGTGATACATACTCCTTAATCCCAAAGATATTTATAAATTACAATATAAATATCTATGTTAACAACTCACTCAGCAGTTAATTTAAAAAAATGACCATTATACCTTTCATCTTCAAACAATTTTAATATTACATAAAAGGATATTTAAAATATTCCGTGATTCATTCTCGTTAATCCAAAAGATATTTATAGATTACAAAATAATGTATAGATAACAATATAGCTCCTCAGGTTCAAACACTTTTAAGCCTCACTGGTTTTTTAGTTCAACTTTAATATAGGTACGGATTTTTGCATGTTTCAAAAAACCGGTGGAGTTGATATAATAGAAGTTTACTAAACTAAAAGTAAAATTATTTATTCTCAATTTTAAAGCGTATGTAACTTCTGGGGACTATTTTGCAAGAAATGCATTGAGAAACTTGTACCGTACAACTTCCAATGCAGCAATAACCCTAATCTACCACAACTTAAGCCAACATGTACAAGGAAATACCCAAAATACCCTTGCACTCATCACAAACAACCCTAAAATTCACCAAGCCACCAAGGCTCCATCTGCAACTTCTATACATAAATAGTCTGCAAAGCTATGGTGGGGTCGCTACCTGAGCCGAGGGGAGGGCATTATGGTAATTTCGATCATAAAGCAATAATTTACACAGGTATGACATCAGCGTTTTGACTTTCGTCACAAGTCAACACAAGGCCTTCAACGTAAGTAGGAAGAAGCCCACAGGCCCACTGGCAGCCCGTGGACATGGGCTCGGTTGGTGGTACGATCATGACAACGTTATCGTGTCGCCGCACCACACCCATCACACTCACTGTACTCCCTTCTTTGATGTACCTGCGTCATACAGAAAGACGATAACAGGACAGAACAGGTTGTACTGCGTTGCATTTGTTACAAGGGACATAGGACATGACAGAACAGAATAAGTTGTACTGCATTGCATTTGTTTCAAGGGACATGAAGATGAAGAGAGCATTTATGTCTTTTAGCACCCACCTTTTGGTTTGGTGAGCAAAAATTGAAATCGAGAGTCAATGATGAAGGGCAAAAATGTAATTTTATGAAAGAAGTGGATTACCCTTCTTTGAGACGCATAACACGGTCATCACTCGAGAGGCTACGGTCTGCAAGCCAACTAAGAAAATTTGGAGATAGTTCTCGGTTTTGTTTGGTAATATCAACAACCGTAGTTTCTTTGACAAAAGGAGCCACTTTAGCTCCATATCCAGCTTTCACAAGAGCCCTTAACCCCGATTGAAAATCCGATATGTAAAAATCACCCACGTATTTCTGCTAACAAAAATGGTTGCCATTAAAATACAATAAATAGCAACATATTTGCATTCATTTGTTTATTATAGGCTATAGCCTATAGCATTGTGTTTTCATAAATTTGCGCAATTATAGCAATGCCATCCGGATACAAAAGCAATTTTCAGTTTTTTGATTGGATAGACTTTTTTCAAAAGAAGATTGGATAGGTTTAATTTTCAGTTTTTTGATTGGATAGACTTTTTTCAAAAGAAGATTGGATAGGTTTTTCAAGGTACAATGTCCGATGAAGAAAAAAATAATAGCAATGTTCTAATTTTGTAGATTTTCAAAAAATATAATGCCTAAATAAGAAGAAAGTTGAAAGTATAATGTTGTACGATGCTCTTTCTTGCATTTAACCCTAAACAAAATGTACCTCGGAATTACTACACCCCCAAGAGAAGCAACGGTGCTTAGCATTCGCGGATGCCCCTCCCCATCCTTTGTATTCATACAACTCTGTGGAAACATATACACACCTTGACACCTTTTGAAAAGATGATTCAAGAGGAATGCTACCACATGTCACAATCTGCATTCAATTATTAAATCCGCTAATTAATATAATACTTATATAAAAAAAAACAATACACATATAATGTCAATAGAAGAGGTAATAAATGATGATTAATAGTGCATAAACAGATGTACTTTCCATAAATTGTATGTATACGAATAGAGAGTAGATGAATTACCCCTGTGACCTTGACGAATTCACCATCAATGGCGCCTCTAAGCTCAGCATTGGGATATTTTCGCAAATAAGCTAACAATCCTCTTTTCTTCCAAGTACAATTCCACAGTATGATTATCATAGCCGGAACTAAAACCGCCGCCGCCGCCACCATAATCACCGGCTTCTTCAACGCCACCGTTAAAAACGCCCCCACCATCAATCCCATCACTACCATCACCAATAACACCCACATTAACTTTCTTGACACCCTAAACCCTAACCTCACATCATCATACCCTAACGTCGTTACAGACGACCCGTAAACAGTCTTCCCTGTGGAAATCACGGACGCTGAGGGGTCTAGCTGACCGGACCTTCTTCCGGCGCTCAATCCAAGCTGTCCGGATGTGATCAAACCAGTCGGTTGAAGCGCGACCATCGGGCCAGACCCGGACCCGGAAGCTCGCTTAGGAATGGGACCGGAGCCGGAATTGGGTCCGGATCTGAGGGAACCGCTGGTCAGTTGAGAAGAAGATGAAGCCCGGTGAGGCTTAAGCAGCGATGGTACTTGTGGGTGATCTGAAACTTGTATGTCGAACATTTTCCCAAGCTCACCGGATTTTTTGACATCGCCGCCGGTGTAGGGTACGGCTCGTGACGCAGTTGAGGGTTGGCGTTCTTTGAGCTGCTCGGGTCGACCCGATACGTATAGTCCATTGCTGAGCTGGTGTGATGGGATTCTGCTCCCCATTTTCGAAATCCCGCAAGGAGATAACGAGAAAGAGGGGTAAAGTGTGTGAGATTGCAGAAAGATAAGAGATTCTGTGTGCGAAAATTGAAGAAAGAGTGAAGTTGCAGGGAGAGAGAAAGTGAAGTGGCAGAGAGAGAATGCGAATATCGTGGTGATGGAGTTTGATAGCAACAAGATAATTGTACTGTACAAGTGAATGATGCATGTGAAAGATTATTCCTGTTGGAAAAGCGTGTTTTAGGCGAAAATAGCCAAAATTGATGGATTTTTGTGATAATGAGACGTTGCACTTTTTCTATGTACGTTGCCCGTATACGCTTTTTTTTTTTTTTTGGTATCCGGTAGTCTTTTAAGGGTCATTTAATACTTGCCGTCTGGGTTAGAAATTCTGATTAAATATACATATGACTGAAACCATTTTGTTTGGTTATGTTACTGAATTTTGACTGAATTTGCTGAATAATCAAAATGACCATTTTACCCTTATGTTATGTTTGCAACACAACATGAATCTATTTGGTTATAGCAATATCATTTAATACAAAAGCAATTCTCACAATTACGCTCCTGTAAACTTTTGTCAAAACAATTCTCTTAATTACAAATATTCATCAAATCATTATCACAATTATATTGATTTACAAAATGATTGAATTTCTATATATACACAAACTAATTTGAGTGTTTTTCTTTATTCCAAAAACATGAGTAATAACCCAATTGACAACTTTATATATTGCATTCTTCAAGATTCAAAGAGGGTGATGATCTCTTCTATGAAGTACCAACATACATATATAATTCTACAGAATTTCTACTTCCTCCTTAAACCAATCACCAGCTAACGCCTCAAACCACTCTGCATCATTCCCATTGTCTAGAACACCTAGAAGGACAATTTTGTTAATAGCTTCAGTTTCATGGCTACCTAATAATCAGTGTAGAAAAAAGGGAAGAACAGCAAACAGAAACTAAGAAGCTTGAACTGAAAGCATAAGACTGCACAGCAGGAAAAAAAAAATCATCAAAATATGATACAAACACAATTTCAGACAGAGAATCAAAAATCAGGAAGATGAAGTAAGGATTTTTTTTCCCCACAGATTTGGCATAATAGGAACCAAAATCAAATAAAAGTCACATATTTCAGATAGATTTCACAGCAGAAAAAAGAGGAAAGAACAAAAAAAATTTGATAATAAACACAATTTCAGATAGAGAAGCAAAATCAGAAAAACGAACCATGGTTTTTTTCTCAGATTTCGCATATCTAGGAACAAAAGTCAGTTGCAAGTCACATACTTCATATAGAGATGAACAATCAATCGATCAAGTTGTTTAAAAAAAAAAGACGAAACAGATGCTTATTGTTGACGCAGCTCTGGCTGGAGAAGGAGGAGGTCGGACTAATGCGTCGATTTGTGCTTTGTTCTCTATCTGAAAAGGGAAGCTGGAGTGAAAGAATCGTGTTTTGTTGCTGCATATTTTTCTATTAGGTCACGAGGGCAGATAAGGGAAGAAGAGGGCAGCGGGCTTTTTTTTTCCAGTCAGCCACATATTTGGAACGGACCGAGTAAGCTCTTTGGGTCAACAATGTTTAGCGAGTCAGCAAAATTTTGTATTTACCAAACAGTCTTACTGCTGACCAAGTCCCGGATCCATTAAGGTCCCGTTTGATAGGTTCTGTCTGGAAAATGCTGTGTGGTAAAGTGATGTCTGAGAAAGTTTTCTGACTGGGAAAGAAACCATGCTGTTTGATTCTACATCTGATTGACTGTGCTGAATGATGAAAAAAAGTAATAATTCAATAAAAAATCAATTTAAAAAAAATTAATAATCCAATAAAAAAATAAAGAGACTGGGTTTGGTGTATAATTGTCTTTCCAGCCCATTCAACCAGAAATATATGATTTTGGGGCTTTCTGGGAAAGACATATCTTACCGGGAAAGACTCCTTCTTTTGTGCAAATCAAACAGTCTTTCCGGTCCATTCAACCAGAAAGATCTGTTTGGACCTGGAAAGATGCGTATCAAACGGGGCCTAAGTTCAAATGAAACAGCCCCTAACTTGTTTTTGTTTTGGGTTTACAAATTTTATAATAATTTTTTTTAGTACTAATGTTTTAAAAGTGTTATTTTTTCTATTTAATGTAATATTTTTATATGACTTAGTTGACATAAATAATTAAGAATAATTCAATTAAGAAGGCTTAACCGGCTAACAATAGGTTAATCCTTATTGTGTCGTCGGTTATCAATGTTTTTCTTTTTTTTATTTTTTTTTTGCTTTTCGAAGTTGCAAACTTTTATATATATATATATATATATATATATATATTATATATATATATATATATAATATATATATTATATTTTGTTATTTATGGCGGCAAACATTATTAGATGCGTATATAAAGGTTTTTTTTTCCGTTTCAAAAAAAAATGCCAAAAAAATAGTCAGTTTTTCGTATCACTTTCATTCAATAGGAGCTTTGATGTTGTTCTATGAGCACTTGATCGTCTGTTGGACGTCGTCATTGTCGATGATCGTACGGTGCAGCTTCGAAGGTTTATCGCGATTGCGTGATGGAGATATTCAGAGTGAGATTCCCGATTGATTGTATTCACATTCCTATGGGAGATCAGTGTGATCGTGGGCATAGATTGGTTGAGTTGTTTTAAACCTTTGATTGATTGTGAGTCGCAGTTGGTGCGTCAGTTGGTGGTAATTCGAACTCCAAGTGGGGGAGAGCTGATCATCCATAGTGTGGATGTTAGAGTTATATCGACTTTCTGTTCTGTCGCAAGGGCTAGGAGATATTTACAACATAGTTGCTCGGGATATCTTGCTTATGTAGTTGACACTCAAGAGAGGAATAAGAAGTCGGTTTCCGATGTGCCTATATTTTGTGAGTTTCCATACGTCTTCCCTGAGGATTTCCCAGGTGCGCCTTCGAAGAGGTAGGTTGAGTTTAGGATCTATGTGATTCCGGATGCGGCTCCGATAAACAAGGCACCATATCATCTTACATCGTTAGAGATGCATGAGTTATCCACTCAGCTTCAAGAGTTTTTGGACATGGAGTTCATTAGGCTGTGTATTTCGCCTTGGGGTGAACCGATTTTATTTTTCAAGAAGAAAGAAGGTTCGCACAGGATATGCATAGACTACAAGGAACTTACTAAGCGCACGACGAAAAACCGTTACCCGCTACTGAGGATCGACAATTTATTTGATTAGCTTCAGGGTGCATCTTGGTTTTCTAAGATTGATTTGAGGTCAGGTTACCATCAGATGAGGGTCGGAGATGAGGATGTGCAGAAGACGATCTTTCAGACTCGTTCTGTCCACTATGAGTTCGTAGTGATGCCATTTAGGTTCACCAATGCACCGACAACGTTCATGGATCTGATGAATCGGGTGTTTAGACCAATGCTTGACCGGTCTGTGAATGTGCTCATTAATGATATTTGGTCTACTTTAAGACCAAGGAGCAGCATGTAAAGCATTTTTAGGAGGTTCTTGAGGGTTTGGATAGGGAGAAATTGTATGTTAAACTCTCTAAGTATGAGTTTTGGTTGTGCGAGGTTCAGTTCTTAGGGCACCTCGTCAACCAGAATGGTATCTTGGTTGATCCGAACAATGTCAATAAGAAATTTACATTATTAACTAATGTCAATAAGAATTTCCGACATAATGTCTAACGAAAAAACGTGGGTATCACATCCTCTCATTATATCTATTTGCCTGAGGATGATATGATGTATTGAAGTGAAGCCGAGTGCCCAGATCCTCATGATATCTCTTCGAAAACCTGAAAGTAAACCTGATATTCATATCCGAAACCACCGAAACCGGCACGCAATGGCGGGAAATCGCCTCTGTAACATATATATTTACTAGCTTCTTAGTTGAGAAGATCTCCTGAATAGAAATAAAATAGGCACTCTTGGTCAACCTATCAACGATGACCCAAATCGCATCAACATTTTGAGGGATTCTTTGATAACTTTGTGATTAGGTTCATCGTGATGTGCTCCTATTTCCATATGAGGATATCCAATGGTTGCATCTTTCCATGAGCTTCTGATGCTCAACATTGAATTTTTGTAAAGTCAAACACCTCTCTACGTACCATGTTAAATCCCTCTTCATACAGGGCCACCAATAATTATCACGAAGGTCTCATTACATATTGGTCGCGCTAGATGAATTGAACACTTGGACTTTTGAGCTTGGTTCATCAAAGTCTGTCGGGTTCCACCCACATACGACACCCAAATCTGCCCAAATCGAGTCAACAAACCTTGACTGTCTCTAACAAACGAAGGACTTGTCCCTTGACTCTCTCTCTCTCTCTCTCTCTCTCTCCCTCCCTCCCTCCCTCTCTTGATTCTCAACCCAACCGCCTCAGTCTAGGAGTTTTTGCCCTTTTGTGATAGAACACAATTTTAGAAAATTAAATTAAACTAAATTACATAAATAATAAATTAGTTATTAAATTAATTATAAGATTATTTAATGAAGTTTTATAAAATACATCACGAGACTTTAAATAAAAGGGAAAATCACACTATAGCCCATCGAACTTTCAATGTTTGGTTTAAACGGTACCTAAAGTTTTTTTTGGCTTTATAGGGGTATTGGGTGGGTTAGGACCTATTCTTTTAATTCCCTTCACCTCTAACAACCGGTATATGTGGCCACATGTATATTTTCAGCACACATGTCAATAGTGACATGACATTAAGTGATTACATGGCATTTCTAAACCAACCCTCAACATCATGGTCTCTACTTTTTCTGCTTATCGTCTTCCCCAATACACCACAAATGAAGAAAACCCAAAATCTGAAACTACAGATTTACCATGACGTGAGCATCGAAACCTAGAAAAATGGTTCCTCTTATCACAATCCATCATATGAAAACAATAAAAACCCATCAGTTCTTTGAAAATTACAAGAACACAAACTCATCGAAGCTTTAAAAGAAGCTTCTGAAGATGGATCCCTATTTAAATCTCAAGATATCGACTCTGAATCTGCAATTAACTTAAACAACAATAAGATGACAACAACCTTGGAAGATCTCGATCTTTCGCAAGACTCGAAACCCAAAAGTATTTCCTCCAAGAAACTTCCCTCATCG